GAACTGTGGCAGAGAAAGGGCCAGAAAACAAGCTTCTCAGCTTCTCATGAATGAATGCCAGCACAACACCAAGTTGATTCAGAAGCTGGAAGCCTTCACGAAGTCGCCGCCGCCAAATAGGATGTGATGTATGGTGGGCTCGCTGTTGACCCGGGCTCGTGATGAGATGGAGCTTTGCCCTCTGGATCCGCTGAAAAGGTGCGTGACCTTGCGTGCGCCGCGCCGACCACTTTGCTTCCCAACCGCAGTGAAGCTACACAGGTCATTTTTCATGGGCTGGGTTTTGTTTTTGCAGGCGTTGTAGACCCGGACTTGCGAATCTTTGGAGGTCCTGGATCACATCTGGAGCACATGCAAGCTTCTATTGCTAGGTCCACAATACCCGAATGCACTCCGCAAATCGATTCGTGTGTAACACATGGCTGCAGCCCTGAGACTGTGGATGCAAAGCTTGAAAGAGATTGCCTGATTACCTTTTCACTTTCCATATGAACTTGACTAAGAGCAGGCTTCATGTTTGAAATAACATTCACAAACCCTGGTTTATATATAACTAAAAACTTTTCCTGTCAGGTGTGCATAAAATTGCGTTTGTGATCACAGGTGCGTACCCACATATTGATATGATTTTGCATGTAACTGTATGTGTTGTACACATTTGTTTTTGAAAATTCTTGCTGCACATTGACCGTTTTCTTCTTTCCGCAAGGCACCACCAGCAAAATCCGTGAAGAACACTGTCACATTGCCACTGTCGCCAAAAAGGCGTCTCAAAGGGAAGAAGGCCTCCGGCAAAACTGTGACATTGCTTTGGGGCACTTGCTGGGAACACATTTATTTGGGATTGTTACAGTAGCAATCATGATTCATGACTCGTTTGTTTTGTTTGTGAGTGGCCCATTATTTTCTTACGCTGACGCTCATTTCCAATGCACGACGAGCTGCTTGCACTACCGGCCTCACAAGGATTCTCACATCGAACCGAAGGCTGATTCAGCTCGGCTTCTGCAATGGCAGCGGTTCTATCAAGTAACAGAGCCTGGTTCCGGTGGCTGACAGCCGCAGTTCAGTCAATCACAAAGCATCCAGGCTAAGCCGGAGAGCTCAAACACATTGTTTGAGGGATGGCGATGGATTCATCCAAACCCTGACTTGCTGCAGTAGTCGCTGTGCATCAGCTTGGTCGGTAGGTCTTCCAGGCACATCCTGGTCGGTAAGTGTTTTCAGCATTGTTCTCTATTTCCAAGCATCTCCGGCACGAACATTTGAGCTATGACCCTTCGTGCCACACATCTCTCTCTCTCTCTCACTCTGTTGTGAACAATTGTTCTTCCACAAATACTCTCCAATCACTAGTAACTAGTATCGAGATGTGCTCAATTGTGTTGCGCCGTGCCGTTGGGCTCCCAATTCATGTATCTTTGTGTCACTCACAATCCAAGTTCGAAGCTGCAGTGAACAGACTTGGACCCTTCATTTCGTTCATTTCACGGTGTGCCGCCGGATACCTACCACCGGTGGCCAAATCAGATTTCGTGGTCCACTCAATCAGGTTGTGCCTTGCAATTGCCAACAGATCTTCAGCTCAACGTGTGATGCAATGCTGTGTATAATTGTTCAGCAATACGCTCGGATCAGGTGGGTGCTCGTGTTGATGAAGAGACGCCAAATGATTGTTTCTTGCCAGCATTCACCTTTTACACTGGGAACATTTTTTGCTCTGCAGCTTTATAAATGTATATATATATATATTTATATATTATATATTATATATTATATATTATATATTATATATTTTATATTATACATTATATATTATATGACCCTGTCAGCTCCTGTAGGACAAGTTTGTCCAAATGATTGTGCAGTATTGTTGTTGCTGCTTGCTCTGTTTGTGCCAAGATGCGGCTGGGGCTGGCAACTCTCCACCAGCAGACAGCTGAAAGGCCGGGCCATCTCGCAACAGTCGCATCCTTTGTCACCTTTGTCTTCAACAAAATGAAACTTTTGCTAGCTTTTGTGGTAGCCCATGCAGCGAGGGTGCGACTGCCTTGGTTTGGCAGTGGTTCACCCAATATATAGACGCCATAAACGCCTACCCATAGCTTACTTGAGCTAACTTGGCGGCCGAAACGGGGAATAGCCAAATTTAATGGCATAAGTTGTCACAAATTCTATAGTTTAATGCAACAAAGTCGGCGGGCCAGTTTCCTTCTCTCTCTCTCTCTCTCTTTTTGTCATTGTTATAGTTATTACTACTTTTTTTTTGTTCGTTCGTTCGTTCGTTCGGGCCCGAGATAGCTTGCTTGGCATCGTAGTATCAGGACTAACTCGGAGCTCCAGTGCCACTGTCACAGCACGCGAAACGCTCTTTAGCAGAGACTCGAGGATTCAAGGCAGCAATGGGCGTTGGTGACCTTTTGTCACAAAGAACTTAGTGGTACAAAGTCTGGACTGATTCCTCGGTAACCGGCTTGTATTCATGACCACCATCAAAGCCCTCACAAATCACGAGCTCCACACGGATACCTTCGGCAGAGAGACAGCTTGAAGGGAAAGTGGAAGCACAACAAACTTTTACACGAGGGCCTTCAGCAATCAGAAAGCTTGGAGGGCAAGTGCTTTTAGACAGTGACCTTTGGCAACAAGAAAGCTCAGAAGGAAAGTAAAAACCCAAGGCTTGTGGACAGTGACCCAGGCAGTGACCTTCAGCGAGAAGAAAGCTCCGAGAGAAAGTAAAAAGCGCAGCTTGTAGACAGAGACCTTCGGCAACCAGAAAACTCGGACGGAAAGTGGATTGAACATCATCTGTCACTAAGGCTGGCCGAGGCCGTTTGTTTAGCTTCGAAGTTTGCCTGTGACAGTGTATACGTGGGTTAGGGATGGCCTGTGTGCCGGTGCCGCAGGAATATCCTAATGCACAGCCCACAGCGTTACAAGTCGGCCTTTTCTTGCTTTATATTTTGTGGCGCGGATTCACCTCAACTGGGGGCTGGCTGCGGTTTAAATACAGTAAATGCATGGCGGCCACGGGCAACTGTCTTCGGTGACTGCAAGAGCGAAGAGCTTGTTTTTTTGCTTATTAGTTATTTATTTAGTTAGTTAGTTAGTTAGCTTATTGTTTGTTTGTTTGGTTGGTTGGTTGCTTGCTTGGTTGGTTGTTTTATGCTTCTCCTCCTGATCCTCATCCTTCTCCTCCTCCTATCTCTCTTCTTTCTCTTCTGTCCTTCACCGCTCCTGTCTCTGCTTCTGATTCTAAACCAAATTGTGGGGGGGAAAGTGCTGAAGGCACTGTGTCGTAATCAACATAAACCATATATATATAATTACATAAACAAATATATATATATATCTATATACATACATATACATATTAAGAATTATAGGTCCCAAGCTGATTATCTTAGGCATCAGCTCAATGATGCTCGCTGTTTCACTGTGCATTTGAGCCAACAAATCCCCGTAAGAAGAACTAGGCGCAGCGAGATGACAATAAGACAGTAAGTTGTTGTCAGGAATCATCAGAATTGGTTCGACTCAGAGAGAGGGTGTATGCGTCTAGCAGAACAGCAAACAATTAATGACTGGGTGTGGATCTGGGATTTGGTCAGAAGGTCCAGAGTGTGTCCAGAGTACTGAATCATAACTTGGCATGCTCCACCACACAGTGGGAACTTAAAGTTCTTGTGATCGATTCTGCCTGTTTTGTTTACGGTTGAATTGAAATCTGCCAACAAATAGTTGCAGGCCAAGAGTCAATCTGCAAAGTGCTGCTCTGACGAAGCGCCATTCCTACTAGTGTTGGCCTTGTATCCAGGAGTGATGTGAAAGCACAGGCCAATTCTGGTTACAGTGCGATATGCTTTCTCAACGCCTTTTCATATTGATCACTCCTTGGAGTTTTCTTTCACTACCAGGCAACATACTCTGCGCGCTGCACAGCCAACATGTTGGGTGACATGCCCACATGCGCTGATCACAGACTCTGCAGTTTACATAGATGTCAAGCCTGAACTTCGGACAGCTTGATTTTGAAACCCTGTCAGATCGTGATCGGTTGTAGCTTTCACTGGATCACAGGAACACCCTCAGGAATGACCAGATTACAATACCTTTTTGATAGATGTGATTTTAATGAGTCGATCAGTTAATATCGCTGATATGTTTTATGTATCTTTATGTCATTCTACAGGGTGAGAAGGACTTTCAGACTTCGGATTTGACGAACTCTGCTATAAAGCCGAGAAGGCATCATGGCGGCCATCTTCAAGGTCCATCTCCTAAGAGTGACAATCAGACCTGTCAAAAAAGAGCCCAGCATAGCATTCGATCTTTTGATCTTTCCAACACTTGGTTCTATTGGTTCTATTTTCTGCAACGTTTTCCATGGAGAACTCGGTTTTTGCTGCAGGTGCACAGGTTAAAAGGATTTGTCACTCTGGGAAGTTGAATTTCAAGCCCTTGAGGGCACAGTGCACGGCAGACTCCCTGGTGGCTTTGCGTTTATACCTATATTAGATCGCTGAACTATACTGGTTCCGGTTGTGCTTAACCATTGGTTATTTTGTGTGAAGCTATGACACAAGTTAAGCTGCGCAAATCGCTGAGCCAGATTGGAGTCAATCTACCTCTAGCCGCTACTCAGCCAATGTACTTGCCTTTATTTGGCATGCTGATGTACAAAAGAGCTGCCTGCATGTGCATTCCAAGTTTGTGAATGGAAGACTTGTCCCTGTTTTTGTATGCCTCTGCCTCTGCCATGCCTGATATTTTGCCGAGTTGAAATTCCTAGCCAACTAGCTTTGAAGCGTAGACTACACTGACACAATGCGCCTTGTAAGCAAGAGGCTTCTTTGACTCAGGCATCACTTTTTGGTCATTGTGGTGGGTCTGTTGCAAGTAAGGCTTTAGTACGAACAGCTGACAGACTTTCCTCTGGGCCCGGAGTCCAGTGAAAACATTGTGTTGAACCAAGCTCCTTCCAATTCCACAATGTTGCTCTGACATCAACTTTGCAACATTTGATTTGTATGCCATGGCAGAAGGCTATTCAGAGCGAGATCCCACCAAGGACCAGTTGAGCTTGATTTTTTGTATGGCAGGGAGAAGCCCTTGCTGAACAAAACATTTTGTGTGATGCAAGGAGAATGCAATGCTATGTCGCATCCTCTCAGCAGACTTGGCTTCTAGCTCTTTCCTAAGTGAGCAGTGGACTTCTCTACATTGGAGGCAAACCTTTGGATATATATATATAGTATGTATATGTATGATTATGTATGTATGTATGTATGTATGGAATGGAATGGAATGGAATGGAATGGAATGTCATGTATTGTATTGTTTTGTTTTGTTATGCATTTCAATGTATTGTAATGCATTGCATTGTAATGTAATGCAAAGTAAAGTAATGTAATGTAAGTATGAATGTATGTATGTATGTATGTGTGTATGAATGTAATGTAATGTAATGTAACGTAACGTAAAGTAAAGTAATGTAAAGTAATGTAATGTAATGTAACGTAACGTAAAGTAAAGTAATGTAAAGTAATGTAAAGTAACGTAAAGTAATGTATGTATGTATGTATGTAGTGTGATGTGATGTGATGTGATGTGATGTAATGTGATGTAATGTGATGTAATGTAATGTAATGTGTGTGGTGTAATGTAATGTAGTGCATTGCAATGTAATGTAATGTAATGTATGTAATGTAATGTTGTGTTGTGTTATGTTATGCTATGTTATTATATGTTATGTTATGTTATGTTTGTAATGTAATGTAATGTACTTAACTGTACTGTACTGTGCTGTACTGTACTGTACTGTAATGCTATGCTATGCTATGCTTTGCTTTGCTATGTATGTAATGTAATGTACTGTACTGTAACGCTATGCTATGCTATGCCATGTAATGTAATGTAATGGAATGGTATGGTATGGTATGTTATGGTATGTTATGTTATGTTATGCTATGCTATGGTATGTTATGTTATGTTATGTATGTATGCATGTATATAAGTGGCCTGGCAGGCTCACGAGAGGGCCGTATTGGACAGGGGATTTACCCCAGGTTGGCAGGGCAGGGGCCAGACTGAGGCTTCAGAAGAAATCGACAGCCATGCCGTCATCCGCAGTGGTTTCAGAGTCATTTGCCGCAGGGTTCTCAGGCTGTTCCGTGAAGAGCGTCCGTGGCTTTGGAGCAGTCAGAGTGGCTGTGCCTCAAGTGTCCCTGTGCCCACCTGCTCGCCACCAGCACACACCAGAGGACAAGGACATTACCATGGCCCATGGATCTTCTGGCGCTGAAGTGATTGGTGCAGCGTTGGCTGTGCCACCCCCGGTGAGTGTTCTTCGGTGTTGCTGGTTTCCGCAGACCACTCCTCCTTAGGATAGCAGCTCCGTTGCATTCCTTCTTCAAAGAGGAGGTGAGGATGACCTGGCCTTCAAGGTCCAGGTGTGCCTGGACACCACATGAGGTGCAGTGGATCCTCTGGCCGGCTTGCCATAAACGATGGCTGGGATGTGCAGCACGCTCACCAGAGTATGCTTGGTCAATGCGCGGGCTTTGCAGGAAGTGCTGGAAAGTCACGAAAGGTAGCTTGAGCTACCTGAGTTCTCCTTGCTTTAGCAAAAATGTATTACAATCAGGAGTTGGGATTGTGCATTGAATTTGGTCCTGTAAGAGTTGATTCTGTTCGTCGGGGGGGGGGGGGCCCCCCGTAAGAGGGAAGAGTATACCCTATGTGCCGCGCAGTCTGCCTTGAGATAATTTAAGCTAACATAAAAATATATAGATTAATAACTATATACTATATCAATTTGGATATATATATATTAAATATACTATTTTTTAAATTTTTAAATATTTAAATCATCTGAAAATCTGGAGATGTCTGAGAACAGTCCTACGATTTAAATTTTTTTAAAATTTTCGGAGCCTTGAACAAGTTAAAAAATTTAAAAGATATAAAAGAGTGCGATTTAAATTTTTTAAATTTTTCGGAGCCTTGAAAAAGTTAAAACATTTAAAACATATAAAAGATTTCGAATTATATTTTTTGATTTTTTAAAATTTTTCAAGGCTCCGAAAAATTTAAAAATCTTAAATCGCAATCTTTTATATTTTTGAATTTTTTTTTAAACTTTTCGGAGCCTCCGAAAATTTTAAAAAAATCAAATTTAAATCGTAGGACTGTTCTCAGACATCTCCAGTTTTCCAGATGATTTAAAAATTTTAAGAATTTTTGAAAAATAAAACATATAAATCGAAATCTTTTATATTTTATATTTTTGAAATTTTTCAAGGCTCCAAAACATTTAAAAATTTAAATCGCAAGCTTTTATATTTTATAAATTTTTTAAATTTTTCGGAGCCTCCGAAAATTTAAAAAATTTAAATCGTAGGACTGTTCTCAGACATCTCCAGATTTCCAGA